TTTTTTCTACTTTTTCAATTAATTGCTAAGTAAGTTTTAAATACGTTTCATGTAAGTACGAATTCAAATCAGTTTTAAGTGCAATTTTTTGCAATTTTTGGGATTTTTTCAATTTTATTGCAATTTTGTCGAATTTACTCATTTATACAACTATTTTAGCAATATTAAAACTTATATATGACTTAAAAACATTATTAAAATCAATGATATACTAACTGGACAAAGAAAATCGTTCGATGGTTTACCCGAAGACTTAACAGTAAGCGATTTATCTTATTTTAAATACGCTCCGCTTACATCAACCGACGTAGAATGAAGTTTTTCGAGATATAAGAACTTACTAGCTCCAAATCGAAGAGGGTTTGATTTCGAAAATTTAAAACAAACACTTATAGTACAGTGCAATGATGTATAATATAATAAATTTATAATGGCATGATTATAATGTAATGTAATGTATATATTTTTTTTGAATTATTTAGAATTTTAGATTATAATTTATAACAGTACACTTAAAACATTTATAACAAAACGTTGTTATTTTTTAGTGCAATTTTTAATATTTTTAGTGCAATTTTTGGTATTTTTTAGTGCAATACTGCAATCAATTTTACTATTTTTTTAGTACTACAACATCCGTGCCCTAGTCATAACTTATTATTATATACTATATGATATGTAGGTACTAGTGTATTATGGTAATTGTATGCTTTGAGTAAAAATTTTCTTATTTTTCTGAGTAGTTCAGAGTTTATAAAAAAAAATGTTGGGAATTTTCTGAAGAACTTAATGTATTTTTAAAATTTTATTTATTATCTATATACATAAAAATGGAGCCGAAAATGTATAACAATTCATCAATTGAGAACGGCTGGTCCGATTTGTCTTAAATTTTTTTTAAGATGTTCGTAATTGCCAGGTGAAGGTTTTTACAAAAGACAATTTTTAAAAAGTCAACCGAATAATTAGAAAAACTGCAAAAACTATTTATTGATGTTTGGGATTTGAACTCGATACCGTTGTATTTATTTATTCTATGGTGTATTATATTATATTGGTTGCTATTGGTTAATCGGGCATGTTTGTTGATTTGCATTATTATTTTTTGTCAATATATCTTATATATAAATGAATGATGGTGTGTATATTAGACCTATGGGAAGAAGATACGCTAATTTAAAAAGGGTTAAATTTGGTTTTTTTTATTCATCGGATTTTAGTACGATTAGGTTAGGTTATTGATTAATAGATAGGTGGAATTAAGTAAAAACGTCAAACTTGGTATAACTTTGGTACTTTTTGAGTTATATCATACACTTACGTACAAACAGCACGGGGTCCGCGAACCTAACCTACCTGATAGGTAATATACTGCTGCGAAACAGAATTTTTATTCCGGGCAACAGAAAAGTTAAGATAAATCTAGAACATCATACACCGAATATTAAATAACGCATTGAACAATGTTTGAGTCATATAGAGTTGGTACATTTAACGGGAAACGAAGTGCACGGGATCATCTAGTTAAAATGAATAATCATATGCATTTCGAGTTTTTCTTCTGTGAACCTGCGACTTTTATCTTTGAACATATTTTTAAAGACTGAGAACGAACATATCCATGTTCCACGTCAACTGAAGTTGTTGGGGCATATTTGAAGCAACTTAGTATTATCAGGTCTTGATTAAGATCTTTGAGCTGAACTTTTTCAACTAATAGACTGCATTAATATTTCACAGAATTTCCAGACCTTTATTTTTATTGGAAAGCTTGTTTAATTTGGTTGTAATTGTTGCACATTCCAGGAATAGAATGAATTTTTTCTTTGGTTTTGTCAATTATTGTAAACCTTTTATGTAAAGTCATATTTTAAGTTTCCAGTTTTTTTATGACTATCACTTTTTAGTATTAACCAACTGACACAGCAAGAGCAATTTAGTTTACTTCGTAATCGATTATTTATTTTATCTTTATATAAATTATTATTAAGTGCCTATAAAATTTAGTTTTAATTTTTCTACTTGACAAAATATTATTTTATACATTTTTTTAAATTTTCGCTCCAATATGCAATAAATTTTGAATTTTTCCAAAATAAGCAATAAGTAATAACATTTAAATATGCAGAAATAGGTAAAAAAAAATTTCACCACTAGTTTAAAATTATGATGGTTCGTGGAGATAACTGACAAAAATTCAAAAATATTAAAAGGAAAAAAATATTTAATTGCATAGAAATCCACGCTCTAGTCATGATAGTACCCACCTATATCATATTTAGAAGTAATTATATTTAAATTAAAGTATAAATAAACACTTATATAATTACTTCATTGATATTAAGTTAACTTTATAATATCTCGGTAGTTTTGATTGGTTTTATACAACTTTTTATTGTTGTTTTATACTATGCTTGGATTTTTATACATATTACAATGTATTGTGTAGTATAATAGTCATAATATACTAAAATAAATACATAATATAAGTATATTTAACAAATTTTATATATTTTGTATATTATAATCACACGCTGAGTCAAATATTAAAGAATATTTTTAATAGTTTTGTATTTTTTAAATATTTTTATTATTTGATAATTGTTCTAGATAAACAAGTTGGTAGGACTAAGTAAAAAACAGTAAAAAATGTGTGAATGTCAAAAGAATCATGAAGTTTCTGTTTCTTGAAAGCATTTTGAGGCTATACTCTTTTCTTGGCAGAGGAAATAAAATGAAATGTTTTTCCAATCTCATGATACCAAAAATCATACTTAGTAAGTTTCTAAAAATATTTATATAGGTAATTTAGATGTGATAATATTATTATCATGTTAATAATTAATAGGATTTATATATTTTTCTTAAAAAAAATACTTCATACTAATTCCCTATATAAGTTGAAATATTTTCTATTCCTTTCCGAAAACCTCGATAAATTGAATGAAAAACTAAAGATGATTTAAATGTTTTCAATGATCAGACATGCACCAGTTTTTGTATTCAGATAATTTTATCACTGATTGTATTTGTTATAGAATTAGATTTTTATAATTAAATGCCTCGCTAATAAAAAAAAACTATTATAAATAATTACTATTTTTTTTATTCATATTTTAGTACTTAGTTAGCAATTGTACATAGGTATATGAGTTTATGATACAGTGATATTCCTAAATACTGGACACTATTAGTCACTGACATTTTGTCTGTTTTCTGAAAAGTATCGCTATTCAGACAGTTTTAGAAAGTTTGTGGTTTGTTCCCAAAAAAACATCCTTGATTTAAAGTAGGTTTTTTAAAATCTTCAGGATTTTGGTTTGGCGTTAGTAGAAGTTTTCTTGTATTAAAATAACATTAATTATTTCATATAAAAATTATATTATGCACTACCTCTAAGTATTTATTAAAAACCCTCATTATAACTCAAATTTAATTTTTTCAAATATTAATATCATAATAAACTTATTAAAATTCTACTGTTCTAATTTTTATAGTGAATATTATTTTTAAATATTATTATAATAGTAAAGGTATTTTAAATTTTTTTTTTACACTTTCTAATACAATTAAAAACCTTTACTGTATAGCTGGAGTTAAGACAGCATACATTGTTATAATATGATTTTGACAAAATTCTTATTAATTTTGTGTTGGATATAATATAATTTTAATAAATCATCCACTGATCTTAACGTACCTAGTTTGTTGTTGATTATTTTTGTTACATAATGCTCATTGATCACAAATCATAATATACCTATTTCAATACAATTTGTTGTTAATAATAAACAAATTTATAAATAAAAACTGTTTATTTGATTATGCAGATTCAGTCAAGACTGAAAAAATGTCACTGTGAAACTACCAATGAAGATGTCTAAAAATATTATTAAAAAAAAGAGACTAATATTTCATAATATTCTTATACTTAATTAAAATGTGGTATAAAAAAAACTTATATATTATAATAAAGAAAATTGTTCAGTTTTAATTTGTTATAATACTTATTTAACTAAAAAATATAATGTATTAAAATAGTCATAAGGTAATTTTTATGTTGATTAAGATTCATGCAATAATTATTTAATACAAGTTAGTGTTAATTAAAGACTTCATATTATAATATTTTTAATGCTATATCAACATTTAATGTTTAACACTGCTTGAATATACGATTCGATTTCATTTCACTTTTATGTAACATTCCGTAAAGATTAATGTGCTTCTAATAATCTAATTCCATATAAAATCAACATTAATTAATGTCCAATATTAAGAAACACAATATCTTTATTGAGCCTTGATCCATTGTTGGCATGGTATGTGGGATGTTTACTACTTGATGGTAAATTATCAGTTATTACTTATCAAAATTTTATTCAAAAACAATTCATAAGCCAAGTATAAAAAATATTTTAAAAAATGGTGACATAGTTATAAAAATGATAGTTTGACAATAAAATGAAAATAACAATAACATAAAAATGACAATTTCTGTTTTATAGAAAATCAAATAACTTATTCATAGTCCATAGAGCAATACAAATATTGAAAAAAAAAAAAATGTTGAAAGGGTGGTACATACTATAATATTGTTATTTCGTTGGCTATTGCTATTTCTTTACGTATTGATTCTGGGCACACATTTATTCCAACATTTCTAACACGTTTAACAGCAGGGTCAGGTTTAGTGTCCTCAGTCAGACGTTTAAATTCATCCCTAGTGGTATTTATACGGTGTAATAATGTACTGTATTTTCTATACCAAACTTGTTGATGTTGTTCATAAACCTGATAATTTTTCCATTTGTCTTGCATAACATGATTTGATGATATTGGTTAAGCAATTTGTCTATGATAATGTCTTGTAACCCTTGTTGAGGAATTTCGACTGACTGTTCGGATTTTATCTAAAAGCATACATCAATAATGAATTACGTGTTCCCCAAATCTACTTTCATAAATAATTCTTACCAATGAACGTGATGGCCATTCCATCATCTCCTTGGGTAGATCATTGTGTAATACTTTTCTGACAACTCTGAGATTTTCTTATCATTTTCTATGTCATCGTTTTTAGTAACAGTTATTGGTACATTGCAGCTCTCTTTGATGTTATCCTTACCTCTCTGCCCAATAATGTGTACTGGATTACACATGAACTGTGTGCTCACATTCAAAACATCCTCGGACATTGTAGCAGACCATAGAATGACCTGAATATTTTCTTCAAGGCACATGAACACCTTTTTAATTTTATCTTTGAAACCTTGAGACAATATTTTATCGGCTTCGTCTAACACAAATATCTTGATAAATTGAGTTAGGAGCGATTTTCTAACAATCATGTTATACACATGGTTAGGAGTGCCAACCACTACATGGGATACAGTATTCAGCTTGTTATGCATGTTATCATAAACGTTTGTTTTGCCAATGCAAGCATGACAATCAACTTTCATGAAGTCGCCCATGCAATACCATCTAAAACAAATGTCACATTGTAAACAGTTCAAAATCTAACCAAATAAAAATATTAAATAAGTTTACCTTTTGAATTTGTTGAGCCGATTCACGCGTTGGTGCCAAAATGAGTGCTTGACACTCATTGACACTTGTGTCTATTTGTTGGAGAATTGAAATTGAAAAAGTAGCAGTCCCGTCAGTACCAGATTGGGCATGAACAATGACATCTTGTCCTTTGATGCATGGCAGAATAGCACGCTGTTGAATAGCTGATAGTTTTTCCAAACCATATAAGGAAATACCATGCATTATTCTTCTTTTAATTCATCTCATTGAAGTTGTCCTCCACTTCTCCCAGTCACAGTTAATGGTTCCACCGACATCCATCTGGGGTCGTTCCGAATAGTCATTGGCTTCACTAGGCAGTGTATTTTTCGACTTATTAGCATTCATTATATAAATATTCTGAATCAATGACTGTAAAATTAGTTGTGAATTAAAAACTACCCAACATAAAATGATAATATTGTATCCTTTATTTTTTTTACATAAATATCCGTGAAATACAATCAGTTCAATCAAAAAATATTATAGGTATAACATTTATGTAGTGATAGGGCACAAATAAATGAAAACTATCGACATATTCGATTGTTTGAAACTATCTAGTTTTTCGATTGTTTTACAATACTATCGAATATTTAATACAATGAACGAATAGAAAACATATCGACGTCATTCGAATAAAAACTATCGTTACGATATTATTATCTATGATAATTATTATCCTCGTACCTACCGTAATCACTTATCACTTATCATATTTTATCGTTGCCTTGTATTTTGGGTAAACAGTATTTCTCTTTCTCTTCTTTGCTATTAGGTACTCGTTAATAAAAATGAAGTAGGTAATGTTATAATTGAGTGGATAGTGATTATTTTTATTAATTAAGTGTGTCGTGTCCTAAGAAATATGTATCCATTGTTTGGAATTATTTTCGAAAGGATGTCAATAATCCGAGCTTAAGCGTTTTGCACATTGTGTGGAAACACTTATCAAAGATCTAATAGCACTTCCAATTTACTTGACCATTTAAATAGGAAGCATATAATAACTAACATATATAACTCGTTTAACCCGGAATCGTATGATTGTAAGAGAAGAATGTGAAGTTGATGTAAATGCTGTACCAGGTAACTTTTAAGTCACTTTAATTTGAGCATATAATATAATACATAATAGTATTTTTTTTAAAAATATTATAATGAACAATATACAATACTGATATATTGAATTTTGAACAGGGACATCGGAAGTAAATCAGTGTCCAACAGAGCTAGTCCCCGTAGTTGGCCCGATAATAAAAATACAAAAACAAATGGTTTTGGCCAACAGGTAATATTTTAGATTACTAATGTTGATTGCTTGTTGATAATTATTTTTATAAATCAAATTAATATCTTTTCTTAATATTGTAGACATTTAATTTGTGTATTACAAAATATTAAATAATATATATATTTTGTAATTTTCAGATTTAATAATTATCCAACTGGTTTGGACACAAGTTATACCTCTGGCAGGAAACTTAGTTAAAAGGATATCAGTATCATACTACGTTTTAAATTTTAATATATTTTAAAATTATTAAAATTATATTTTATTCATTTATAAGTCTAGAAAATACTCTTTTGTAAACAATTTTCTTTTTTTTAGTATTTTATTGGCTAAGTAGTTTTCTAGGATTAAATTTCGATAAAATTATTCAATTTATTGTTTTTAATTTTTAGATTTAGGTATTTATTATTCAACTAGTTTAGACACGCTTTAAGTTATACCTCTGGCAAGAAACTTAGTTAAGAGTATCATCCTACATTTTAATATATTTTTTTAATTAATACATTTATATTTTATTAATTTTTAAGTCTTGAAAATATAAACTCTATTATAAACAATTTCATTTTCTTTTTCTCTTAGTGTTTTATTGAGTATTTCAAGGTTTAACAATATGGACAATTAGATAGAATGATATTAATGGATTTCATGTCAATAGCTTAAAAATGAATTGTGTATAGATATCTACCTAGTACAAATAATGGAAATTTATTATATTTGTTTGTGGTAGTGAGTTATAAAGATTTCAATGTAAAAATATCAATAACAATATTCTATAACGTCCAGTTACTTGAATCAATCATTTTTAGTCTTAACTTTTATTTGAACCCTCTAATTAAACATTTCATATATGTTCTTAGATTTGGAACTGTGTCAAATCAGCAGATAAATGCATTTCATGAAGCTATTGTCCGGATGATTGCTGAAGATCTTCAACCTTTGTCATTGTAGAGAACTCGGGCTTCCGTCATATGATAAAACTCTTAGATTCTAGGTGATAATCATAGATTTTAACATTGTTAAATATATTGGAATAAACAACAACTGACTAATAGTACTACATCTTAAATAAAATTACTTCTTATGCTATTACATTTGTTTGTCATAAAAATATTTTAATATATACATACTATAACTTATTTTAGATATGAAATACCAAGCAGACCATTCAGTAGGACAATTATTCCAGATATTATGGAAAGAGTGAAAACTAATGTCCAGACTGTATTGAATGAAGAGGGTCATGTTGCAATAACAACTGATATATGGACTTCAATGAACATCGACTCCTTCATGACGTTAACTGCTCTCTTTGTTCACACTAATTTAAGAGAACTAAAAACTGTAGTTCTTTGTACTAAAAAATTGGTGTCGAACTATACTTTTATAAATCTATCGGAAGTAATTAATCAAGAACTGGTAGATTGGAAAATATTAAATAAAGTATTTGCAATTGTAACAGATGGTGGTGCTAATATTAAATTAACCGTCCGAATTTTGGATATTCCTCATATTCCATGCACGGCTCACCGGTTAAATTTAATAGTACAACAATCACTTTAGCTCTCAGAGGTTGAACTGATTGGAGAACATTATTTCACTCTTCTTGAGATATTTCAATGAAATTATGAAAAATATTTTTTCTTCTTTTAAATGTGTTAGGTTATAGATGATTAGAATTAATAATATATTGATTACGAAATAAAGAAAAACATATATCTTTGTTGATTATTATTTCATATTTTAATATTCTGTATGTAGTTATGACAAATATCACTGGCATTATTTTGAGAGTAAAAAATTTTTATATGAGTTAATATTGTTGTATTCGAACCATCAGCGATCCAAAAGTTAATGGTTTGAAATAAAGTTGAAGTCAATTTCAACAGTAAATGAAATAGTAGTGTTGTAACATGGTTGGGGCAATGACAAGTTAAATATAAGATATCCAGGGAGAATCGTAGGATTCTATATATATATAACCAGGGGCAGATATGTAGATATCAGGATCTTCAATACATTTAAATTACTAGGATTCCTTTTCAGTTATCTATAAGTAGGTACGCATAAAAAAAAGGTACGCATATTAATTTATTGGACATTTTAAATTATTTGGACTCATAATAATATTGTAGAAAGTGAAATAGGTATAACCAATAATGAGTTTTTTTGACAAGAGTTGATTTATTCCAAAAAAAAAAATTATTAAATATTAGGTATAATTTAAAAATATATATCATGTATAAACGTGCACTATAAATTAACAAAATTACCTAAAAATGACAATAATTACTACACAAAAAACGCCAAAACTAATAAAAATGTAGTTAAATAAAAGTTTTCAACTCTTCGATGTATGAAACAGATTACTAGTACTGCATTGCCTGGGACTTTCTAAAAAATATTGTATTTTGCATTAAAATGTGTGCCTTATAGTGATATGTATTTAAAGTTTAGTTGAGCGAAGTGGATTGTGTTAATCTACTAACAAAGTGTTATAAATACAGCTAATACAAGAGGTCCTAATCCTAAAAGAATTGTCAACAATAATAATATTATACCAGGTGGATTATTTTGTGGGTACTAGCTCGAGGAACACAATATTATGACACCATTCCACTGTGCAATTGCACAGTAGCACAGTGGCCCAGTCAAGCCCTGGACTATCTATATTGATATCTAACATCTAAGTTTAAGTTAAGGGGAAGATTCCTTCTGCTAGGGATTTGTTAAATATCGCACAGATCGGCAAAGTGAGATGGTTTCTACAGCAATACAAAAAGATGGCTGAAATACCATCAGGTCCGGAACCCCGAGTAGTAGCAAGTGATTCAAGAGCAGCAGACACCTCGTCAGGGGTAATTGTTATTGAAGATGGGAGAAACGAAAATTGCTCTGTAGTTATCAAGTTCAACTGAGAATCAGATATCAATACTTTATTTGATTCAACTATTGTAACTTCTAGAGTAGCGTCTGCTCTAGATAGAACGTAAGTAAGTGACCGAAATGCAATGTATGTTTTACTAGCTACAGTACAATCATTAGGGCAGAATATACAAAATTTTACCCTTAATCAAGAGTCAATAAGACAAGCGAGAATATCGAGAAAAAATCGCTGATAAAATAAGAATTTCAATTGTTACCACTATTCCATTGACAGACCATTGGGACGGAAAATTACTTCCAGATTTAACTTCAAAAGATAAAGTTGATAGCCTAGCAGTTATAGTTTCAGAGAATGGTATTATGAAATTACTTGGTGTGCCAAAAATTCCAAATGGAACGGGGGAAGCCCAAGCAACTGCAGTGTTTGAGTTACTTGAAGAATGGAATTTAATTGAACGCATTAATTTTATGTCCTTTGATACAACAGCAAGTAACAGTGGAGTAAAGGCCAGTGAGTGTGTACTTCTTGAAAAAAAAATTAAAAGAGACCACCTCAGTTTAGCATGTCGACACCACATACTGGAACTTATTATTGAAAGTGTGTTTAATGCGTTAATGGGAGCTTCAAGTGGTCTTAATATCAAAATATTTCAAAGATTTTTAGAAAGTTGGAACGAAATTGACGTAGAAGAATACGAAAATGGAATAATTGAAGATACAGTGGCTAGTAAATTAAATCCACAAAAATATGTTCTTGTCAAGTATATCAATGACCAGTTAGCAACATTTCAGCCTAATATTATTAGGTCTATCATTCAAGACCTTTAAATTTTTTAACGTTTTCTTTACGAAATTTTCAAAAAAAAAAAAAAAACAATTTTAATGTTTTTACGTTCATCGCAAATAAAGTTCAAAAACAAATTATGGAACCAGACAAAAATTTAAAGGTTAATGTCACCCTGCACACTACAGCTACAAAAACGTTAAATTATTATAAATATTTGAACGTCATATTATATTTCATGCTGCAAAATATTATCGTACTATTTCTAGATTATTTTTTTTGGAGGCTGGCTTTATTATAATATAGTCAATGTATTGATGTACGTCCAATATTCGCGTCTATGTTTATATTTTGTTGTAACTTTTACCTATCTTAGTTGTACTTATACTAGTGGCTTTTAAAATAAAAAAAAAGAGGGTATGTAGATGTCGCTCTGCCATACAGTAGGTTTTAAGTGGGTCTATGTTTATTGTTTAATAATAATAATAATCTAATTATTTTCATATTCAATTTGAATGGGTAAGTACTTGCCTAATTTCAGTTTCAAATAACATTAATGGTTTGCTTTATCTAACAGCATTTATTTAATAAGACAGTTGGCATCTACATTATTGTAGTAACAGGGATTTACTAAGTTATAATATTACATAATATTTATTATTATTTATATAATACATCTGACATCAGAAAAAAATTGACAACATCAACACTTAAATATTATACTGTTAAAAATATTTTTTAAATAATGTAGGTTAGTTATAACACGGATATTTATGATAATAAAGTTGACTAAAATAAAATCGACACCACCAACATTTTACGATTACATTGTCAAAAATACTTTTTAATTAATATAACAGTGTACAGAGATATGTATGAAAACAAAATAGATGATAGACTGATGTCTAACGATTACGTGTTGAGAGGACATTATACCAACATATTTTGTTGTCTCCGTCTTACAAGTGTGTAACATGGCAAATGGTACACCTAGCAGATCAAGTTTAGCTCTGTTAGTTTAAAAATTAGAGCGAATTAACTTCTTGAACAATTTAAAGGAGAGATTATTATTTAGGGCATCTCATAGGCTTTTTGTTATTTTTTAACTTTAAAGCGAGATGAGTATATCAAGATGTACAAACAATTTACAATTTAAAAAAAATTATAACTCGCTTTAAAATTAAAATATAACAAAAAACCTACGAAATACCCTAGATATTAATCTCTCTTTAAATTTTATAAGAAGTCAATTCACTCTAATTTTTAAACTAGCGGTGCTAAACGTGATTTTCTGATCTCAAAATTTTAGACGAGTTTTTTTGCCAAACATTCCAATATTGATCTATTGAAGCGATAAGATTTCTGAAAACAGATATGAATTTTTCGTCAAGTGTACTTGAAATCAACTTTCCCACATTTTTTATTTTAACTTCTTCAAAAATTGAAATAACAGAATATTTAAATACTCTTTTTTAACATGACATTTTAAAAAATTTGGGGGATAATATTACTATGTCGCGCGTGTGTTAGACAAAAACAGAAAATCACAGTATCGAATCCCCTTAAGAATAAAATGTGTAGTTAAAATGAATTAAATAATACAATCCAACATTAACCTCTGTAAACATAGTATGGGGCGCACTTAACATTAAATAATTTAAAGAGAAAGTTATAAGGTTATTGTGGTTTTATATTTTACACGAGGCCAAATAAATAAGAATAATAATTTTAGCATTACGATAAATAATTAAGACCACAACTTCTTACTTAATAATCACTTGGTTTGGGTAATTTTAGTAGTACTATCAATAATATTAGAGGCCCAAAATTCTGTAAAGTTACAGTTCTTATAACTACCAACAATGAGATGGTCATGTAGGCTAACTATTTATAATTTGGTGGTTTATTAACGACTACTCCACCATAAATTCGTAGCCAATATCTTGAAAATGACAATGTCTCCATGGTCCAAGTATTGGTAGTTGGGTGGTAAATTTCTTAAGTATTGACAATAGATTTCTTAGTTTTTCCACCAATAACGTACAATAAACCACCGCATGCCACTACTACAATATAAAAATGTCATTTAAATTATATATAATTTTACAAAGGATATCCTAAAAATAAAATTTTTATAGTCACCAGGACAAAATCGGCATAACTCCATATCAGGAATAGAAGAAATAACTCCATCTCTTGTATCCAAATACATTGGAATGGCGATATATTGAACTGATTTTTATAGATTAAATTGGGTAATCGGAACAAAAAAATCCCTGACCCTAGGAAAAAAAATCCCAGCTACAATATTACTCACCATCACATGCAAATGGTTGAACAAATATATTTTGAACGTTAATTAGTATCTATAATTAATATTTAATGACAATTAATACGTATATTATATTATATTGTTAAAAAAATTATAAAAATATTTAGAATGATCAGTACGTCAATTAATAATACAGTTAAAGACATGGGTAGTATACAAAAATATTATACAAAATATAGGTACCTATAATTATAATTATTATCATTATTATTACCACCTAGATTTTGTATAAAATGTTTGTATACCTACTATATAATACCTACTAAATATTTGTATATGTTATGTTTTTACTGTGAGTAGGTGACTATAATACATTCAAAATTCAATAAATTATTGTTTGATAATTATTTTATTATGATTATAGTTATTATTATTATTATTGATATTAACATTTACCACCTATATTTGAAATTTTTTATAATATTTTTATATACCTAGGTACAATGTTTTGAACTGTATTCTTTGACGTACCAATCACTCGAAATATTTGTATATATTTGTATATTTGTGTACACTACCTACACCTCACACAACAATCATAAGTAATATTTGAAGTTTTGA